TTAATTTCACTTTAACTGGCCTTAACGCAAAAAGTACTTTGTGGATTTTGAACCTAAATAAATACTGCAACTTTCACAGCCCTTATCTGTNGACCTCACCTCTTTGTGCCGTGCACCGCTCCTCTACAGCAGCAGTGCTTTCCTGTTTGCGCGTTTTCCGTCTGCTAGCAGCCCAGCTCACAGTAGCACTGCCTTTAGCTGTGCTTTGCACGTGCGCGCGCTCTCAATGTATTGTCTATGGGAAAACTTAATTTCACTTTAACTGGCCTTAACGCAAAAAGTACTTTGTGGATTTTGAACCTAAATAAATACTGCAACTTTCACAGCCCTTATCTGTTACTCTGCTAAGTTTGGGAGCGATCGGTCTAGTCGTTAAAAAGCCTATCCGGTTACAAGCCACCCTCTTCTCGCGAGCGATGACGTAATATTTACATGAATTTTTCCCAAAAAAATTGACTTTGAAAGGCTCTAGTTTCCAAACGGCTGGAAGTATTTCAATTCTGAAAACAGATTGCACTTTTCCAACTACTTAGCTGTTATCGTCCCAAGTTTGGTGGTAATCGGTACAACCGTTTAAGAGAATTAGTGGTTACAAGACAAAATTTTCCCCAATTTTGACTCAATCCTAGACTGTCACTTATAAAAACATCTCGTTTTGCTCGGAATTTTGGTGCCCTCCAGTCAATTAAGTAACTAATGATTCTTGAACGATATGAGACCATAAAGCACGGGATTCACGGCTGGAAAAAAGTAAGATAAAGAAAAAGATTAGAGTCAGTTGAGCATTTATTGTCAATCAGTTCCTACCTGAGTTGGCATATGAAAGGCAGCTTGCAATAAGCATGGCGGCAACAGCAAAGTCAGATCTAGGCGAATTGGAGTAGTTGAGGACAATGTAGAGCTGACCAAGCCAGTAGGGCAGCCAGCAGAAAACGTAGGCGGCAATGACGGTGAGCACTAGGTAGGTGACCTTCCGGTGAGAGCGTTTCTTTTCCTTCGACTTGTTCTTCGGCCCTACGCGACGCAGTTTACAGATGACCAGAATGTAGAAGACAAAGATGAGAATGAAGGGCACAAAGAAACACAGCACAAAGGAGTACAGTGTAAACGCCTTATCTCCTTTCATCAGCTCACTTTCCGGCCAAACTATGTTGCAAGTTACCAGGTTCTTATATTCCAATGTGTTCCCGTACATGAAGATGGGCACCATGAGAATGGCTGATATCTGCATTGGGAAAAGACAGTGTTTTAGCTCAACGAGTTTTGCTTACCGAAACTCCTCTTTACAACTTACACTCCACACTGTGAGGCAGATGAATTTCGCAACAAATGGCGTACGGAATTTTAACGCTGTGATCGGATGGCAAACTGCGATAAATCTGTCTGCAGACATGACAGTCAGCAGAAGACTACTGGTGAACTGGTTGATGGAGGTGATGGTCATGTAGACCTTGCAGAGTAGTCTGCCGAACATCCAGAACTTGTAGATGAAAGTGGTAATGAGAAAGACGAGGCCGATGAGAAACATCTCATCAGCAATGGCAAGATTGAGAATGTACATGTTGGTCACTGTTTGCATTTTGGAGAAGCGCATCACCACGTAGATGACCAATGTGTTACCGAAAAGGCCGACAATGAAGACAATACCGTAGAGGATCTTGGCAAACTCGAGAACCATGCTGGAGTAGTTGGTGGTGGAGATGCTTTCCTGGAACTGACAGTCCATCAGCGATCGGTTCTGCTGCAGTGCCAGCAGGATCTCATCACTTGGCCACTCCATGGTGTGATTCAATTCGGCAAACATTATTTCTAAACAGGGTCTAGTTCAGCTCGAGGTCACGTATGGGAAAAATAAAAAGAAGAAGAAGAGAAACCAACAAAAAGGAGTACTGTTTACAGTAGTTTACACAAAACTGTAATGCTGCTCTCAATTATGCTAATTTGTGAAAACTGGGCTGGTTCACTCAGGGCATGGCGATTGATGCTGGTGGTGGTTTGGACCGATAGTTTTGATCATTTGGAAATGTCAGGTAACGAACGATAACTTGCCAATTGCAGAAGGAAAGAAGCCCACGCTGTGAACGGACAGACAAACAGTGGACACTTCACACCTCAGGTCTGGCACTGGGGACCAGACCAGAAAGCACTGGTGGTGCACAGGCTGGCTCACCGTAGTGAAGAGAGCTTCTTTTAGACGCCAGGCAGTCGGTACAGCGTGTCAATTAGTGAGAATTTCGGTGTTTACTCGAGAAAGCCAGCTAAAGATGGTGACGAACGATCCGCCACTTTGGACACTGTCGATCCTTATCGACGCTATAGAGCGAAAGAGCAGGAGAGGGTGAAGGAGTGCGACGGAAAGTGAGAAAGGAAGCGAGATGCTAAAGACGGAGAAGAACGGGGAGAACAGTGTAACACTGCTGGTGCTCGCAGATTGAGTACTTACTCAGAGTACCATTCGCTGTACAGTCTGAAACGGCTGAACATTCGCCGTCGCCGCCGTGGTTGCTGCGGTTGCAGTACAGCGCATGCCACCCTCGGGGAGTCTTCTGGTACGGGTGCACACACCACGACGTACGACAGGCAATCCATTCCATACTCGGCCATACCCAAACACTGAACACTGACGCTCTGACCCTCTGTGCAACAAACCACAGCAAGAGAGAAAGAATGTGCGCGATCAGAGGAAGGAACATCAAAACCAACAAAGACAGGACACCACCGACCATCTGTTCTTGCAGTGTAGGGCTGGTTGTAGACCATGGTTTGAGAGCACCACCGGCCCTGGATGTACTGCGTAAATGTTGAGGATATATTAGTGGTTGTCCCATTAGATCGCCCAAAATAAACAGGCGTCAGCTGGGTGACAATGATGGGGAAGAAACTGTACAACAACAGTTTCTTTGGCAAATGGGGCAATCATTACTGCGGCTCATCTCTTTTCGATTGTCACTGGGGAATAAAGGGAGAGAATATTGCTCTCGCTGTTGCCAAAGTAACCCATTTTTACCCAGTCCCAGAGCGGACTAATGGTAATAAAAGCGAACTTTAATTGAATATCAAATAAATACTTCTTACAAATAATGGTAATCTTCAAAGTGTGAGTGTTTGTTTTGTGTGTATTGCAAATAGTTGTTGGTAGATGTGAACAGAATTTGCATTGTAGGGACTTGCCATGAACGCAGAAAGAGGGTCGAGCGTTTGCATGGAAGCGTCAGGGAGAAGGGCGAGCACTGTCCGGAGCATTTAGCCATCAAGAATTTATCACAAACAATTTGATAGATTTGCTAAATGCAGTGGTGTCCGGTGGTGTTGACTAGTCAGGAGGATTGGGAGATTACTTTGGAGTTGTTTACATTTCAGTCAGTCAGCTGGCATATATTAGCCAACAGATTAGATTGATGTGTTGACTTTGCTTGAGTTTCAGAGTTAATGGGCGGACAGCCTCGAAAAGGTCGAGAGCACTCGAGATTTAGAGTGTGGAATAATCGAGTGTGCTCATTTTTCAAGAAATGATGAAGACTGCGGTCTAATACTGAACTGCTTCAGGGTCGAATCCAGCGATGCGACATTGCCTGAAGCGTGGAATGCGGCAAATGCATTGTGGAACAACACCAACTGCCTTTGCATTACCTTCACTCGGTGCTCCTCGAGGAACTTCATCTTCACGGCGACGTCGTCTCTCAACTTTTCATACTTTGCCTTCGTCTGATTCACCTTATCCGAGGTGATGATGGTGGTGGAGTTGTTGGCCTGTCCCGAGGCGCACACCATACTGTTGATATTGTTTCGCTCTGCGTCATACTCAAGTCGAGCAGCTTCGAATGCGCGAATCGTCACCACCGTGTCTTCGATCGTTTTGAAAACCAGCGTGTGGAGATTTGAGGTGAAGAACTTCAAGGCAGAGAGCAGCTTTTCACCATTCTTGGCTATGCTGCGCATCATTTCGGCGTTCTGTTTAAAGTCATTGCTCAGGGTACTGTGTTTCTCGTAGTTGTCGGCACTGCTAAGCGAGGACTTTGTTTCGCGAATGGCAAGTTCGTTCAGGTGCTCATACATGGCATTTTGTTGCATTATCATTATGGAATATTGATTGCACATGTTCTTGGACAGCAGAAGAACTTGCTCGTATCTGTTTTGAGAATCACGCAGCTTTTCAATTTCCGCTTCCAGCTCCAGGTCCACCGTCCGGTCGCACTTGCCCAGCTTTTCATTCAACATCTGCTTGGTGCACTTGTAAGTGGATAAGGACCATTCTTTTAAGGCATCAATTGGAGTGTGCTTTGTGGTAATAATCGAAGACGAATTTATAATGTCTGAATGAGCTGACGAGGATAACGAGGGCTCCAGTGGAAGGGTAGCGGGGCGATGGTGCCGAATGGCCGAGTTGGAGTTCTCGTGGATTGCGATCTCCTGCATCGAGTCGAAGGAGGTGATGTTCACCGGGCCAAGGCTCGAGTGGTACGTCTCCGTGTCTCGACCGGTGTTGGCCATGGTGAGATAGGGAGCAAGTTTGGTGAGATCAAGCGTCTTTGGCGGCTCAGAATTGGGTGAATCAGCAGTAGTAGCGGAAAAGAGTGTGGAGAAGGACTGTCCGTCACTGTTGGCGACACTCACAGTTTTGACAAGTGGCTCAACAAATCTGCAGAGACTCCGTCCGGTTTTGCTGGTGACGGTGGTAGTGCTGACTCGAGCTGTTATCGAGCGGGATTCAGTCGCCCTGGTGGGCAATTCAGCAGCAATTCTGTGGGCGAATCCAAGTGCGGCAGACTGGCGCTCTGACGCCCGGATTGCCCGTCTTTTCTTTCTCGCCACTCGGTTATGTCATCGACTGCTGAGCGCAATCAAAACAGAGTCCGCAGAGCCGCATCAACACGCTGCCAGTTACCCAGGCGCTACTGATGACACGTACAGTCGAGGTCCCAGATACGCGCACGATTCTGCCCTGAACAAAGCGCTACATTTACTTTTCCCGGAATACTGAATCTAAACTGTGCTTGATTCTCAAGTCTGATTGAGGAGGCAGACTGACAGGTTAAAGTTGCCAAAGCTTGTTCCCGCCAAACACCTTGTAACGAACTTTGCGAATGAAAGAGCACTGCTGTGAGTTAGCACAATTTTTGCTTGTGTTTGCGTGTATCTTTGACTTGCACTGAACACTGTTTCCAAATCTTCTAATTGTTTGTCTTCATCTTTAGCTGGTAAACACAGAATTTCCCAGTAACTGACACCTTGTACCAACTGGCGTCTAACAGAAGCTCTGGCTACAGCCAGTGTGTGCACCACCATGTTTTCTCAAGTTGAGCTGGACGATGTCGACAAAGTGCTTAGCAAAGAAGACGGCCTGATTGAGAAGCCGCGAGATGCAAAGTTTTGCCGTCATGCCGGAAACTCAAAATGTGTCCACTGCACCCCTTATGAGCCGTACGATGAGAGCTATTTAAAAGCCAACAACATCAAGCACATGTCTTTTCACTCGCATTTGCGTAAAATGAAAAGCGGAATCGACAAGTGAGTTTCTTATTTTCATGTTCCTTCTCTTTTCTCATTTGCCAATTCTTTTTTTGACAGAGGCAAGTTTGCAATTTTAGAGGACATTAGCTGCAAGATCAAGTCAGGCTGCAAAGGGCATGCACCTTGGCCCAAAGGAATCTGCACCAAATGTCAGCCCAGTGCACTTACTCTTAATCCTCAGGTTGGTACTGTTTCAAACACTTTTTAAACATTTTGATCTAAATACTTTTGTCCACAGGCATATCGTCACGTCGACAACGTCACTTTTGAGAATACCTCAATTGTGGAGAACTTTTTAAACTACTGGCGCGTTTCTGGTCATCAGCGAGTGGGCTTTCTCTACGGCTTCTACGAAGTCCACAAAGAAGTGCCCCTTGGCATTCGAGCGCACGTCGTGGCGATCTTTGAGCCACCGCAAGAGAGCACCCGTGACAAAGTGGACCTGCTTCTTGAGCACATGAACCTGAAGGAAGTGGACTCCATAGCGAACTCTTTGGGCTTCAAACGCGTAGGCTGGATCTTCACTGACTTGGTGCCCGATGAGAAGACGGTGGGAACGGTGAAGCACATTCGCGGCGCCGACTCGTTCTTTCTCAGTGCTCAAGAGTGCATCATGGCGGGCTACTTCCAAAACTCTCACCCAAATCCCTGTCAGCTGTCTCCCAGCGGCTTCTTCGGCTCCAAGTTTGTCACGGTGTGCGTCACCGGGGACAAGGAGAACCAGGTGCACATGGAGGCGTACCAGGTGTCCAATCAGTGCATGGCACTGGTGCGCGACAACTGCCTCATTCCCACCAAAGACGCTCCCGAGCTGGCGTACGTGCGCGAGTCCAGTAAAGAGCAGTACGTGCCCGATGTCTTCTACAAAGGGAAGGACAAGTACGGCAACAATGTCACTCAGATTGCCCGTCCACTGCCCATCGAGTACCTGCTCTTGGACGTGCCCGTGGCGGCGAACAAGGAGTCCACCTACACCTTCAATCCCCTGCCGCAGCTCAAGCCATTCCCCATTGAGAATCGAATGCTGGAGGGACACCTGCAGGACTTTGGCGCCCTCGCCCAGTACATGAGTCAGTTCGACAAGGACAGCCAGCTGCTGGAGGCCTTCTCCGACCTGCATCTGCTCGTGTACCTCGCCCATATGGACACTTTGCCGCTGAAGGAGGCGATGCCTCTTCTCCTGCAGGCTGTCAAGTCCAAGAATCGATCTCTCGTCAACGAGTGGGCGGACAGTGATAAGTGGGCCACCATCGAGCAACTAATGAAGGCTAATAATGGTAACCCGGCAAGGGAGAAGAGTGCTTTCAATGAGCTCACTAACCACCTCTTTTCTTTCTTTCCCTTTGACAGATTTTCAGTCGACGAGTAGCGCCAATTTCAATTCGGGCTCGTCGGCCAGCAGAAGCAGCCAGCCAAAGTGGGCCTGCAACCACTGTACATTTGAAAATGATGGCAATCGAAGCTCATGCGAAATGTGTAGCTTGCCAAAGTGATCTTGCCCCCGTGGAACTTATGCTAGAATTACTACTTTTATAGTCAACAAATTATTAAATATCTTTTCAATTAAGCTTGTGATCCATTGTTCTGGTCAGGTTTATATTTAATATGTATATTGGAGAACGACCGTAGAAAAAAAAGACGACAGCGTAGAGAACAAAGCGAAACGTCAAACAAAAAGGGAAGAGGAGAAAAGAGAGAGTTCAGTTATCGACGACAGCAGCTTGTGCGGGTGCAGCTTCGGGGCTTCCGATGTCTTCGATTAGGCTAGGTGTGAAAGGTGACAAAGTAAGATTAGTTAGTCTTAGAAGGTAACCAGCAAGTCCAAGCATAGCAGCAAAGTAACTGTCTTACCAGTGTTGCCGGATGAGAGTGCAATCACCACCGTCGACGACGTTCAGATCATAGACGTAGAGGTAGCCATCGGTGGACGCAACCAAAACATGCGGCGCTCTGTTGGCAGACGTAGGAGTGGTGATGGCGCACACCGACTTTGGACCGCTAAAGGGCAGCCTGACGGTGGCAAAGGAACGCCACTGGTTCATCATGTCTCCCACTGAGGTGAGACCAATGGAGCTGGCCGACTGGAAGACCTTCTTCACTGCGCCCATGAACATGTCCGAAAGATCATCCTCTTGAGGTTTGCTGGTGGAGAAACAGTGGGAGTGAAACATTGTGATGAGAGTGCAATGTGTCATCGCTGCAAACTTACTTTTCGGCGAGCTTAAAAATATGAACAGTTTCAGTGTTGCTGGAAGCGCAGAGAAAGAGCGAGTCAGAACTGAAGGATAAGGAGTAGATTGAGACGCAGCGAGCGTATCCACGGCGAAACTCGTAAATACAACTGCCCTTGAGAGTATCAAAAACGCGTATAACAGTCCCCTGATAGAAAGAATCGTCATTAGAACAAGCGAATAAAATTGCGTCAAGGCGTTTACCTTATCGGAGGCAGTAGCTAGTTTAGTTCCCTGAGAGTCAAAGGTCATGGATACGAGAGGATTGTCGTGAGCAGCAATGGTCAATTTGTTCTCCAACTTGAAAGCGTCAAAAATGTTCACTTCGCCAGTAGTGTTTTTGGCAGGATATGCGAGATAGCAGGGATCGTTGCTTGGGGAAAGAGCGATCAGTCCTTGTGGGTTGAGCGGTATGTGCTTGATAGTGTGGATCATTTTCAGATCGGAGATGTTGTGGATGAGGATGCTGTCCTCCAGACACACCACCAGACGTTGGCGATTGAGCTTCACCGCCAAAATGGTGTTCATGTACGAATGTTGAAGAATTCCTGCATTCTTTTTGAAATGCCACGCTTGAAGCTTCCTTGGCGAAGATAGATTGACAGTTGCCAGCAGGCTGGAGGAAAACATTCTCTCGACGATGCATGTGTAACCAGAGTCTAAAGGTAACAGAAATTACTGAACTAAATATGCTAGCATAGAAAAACGATTTCCTTACTGTTTTCGTAAAGCAATTCCAACTTGTCAGTCTTCTTGAGGTCGTACAACTTGTAGCCAATTTTAGTTCCCACTGCTAGCGACCTGGAGACGAGACATTACAAATTAGAATGAAGAGAAAGGGAGAATTCAACTCACGTATAGTCCTGGTTAAAGGTTACAACAATTTTATTATCTTCATCTTCACTTGCGGTGGCGTGCGAAAAGCTCATCTCGATGCAGACTGTCTTGACTGTGCTGGTGTGTGTGTTTGTGTGTACTCTATTGATAGTGAAGTAAAGTCTAGTAGGAAGAAAAGGCAAGAGTGTGTTTCGAAAGAGTGAAGGTAGAGGATGGATGGATGGATGGATGGTGGTGGTGGTGGTGCAGTATGTGCTGCAGTGATGGTAGTCGCCAGAGACTGCGAAGCACTGGGACGACAAGGACGGGCTCAGCCTGGATGGTGAGAGCTGGGAGACCGAGGATAGAAGGCCTAGGTGGTGGTCATGGAACGGTGGTCGAGTCTTCCTGCCTTCCTTCTGCTGTTATCGTCTCAGCAGAGAGTGTGCAGTGTGTGTTCCAGAAGACAGCAAAGCTATGCTGGAGAGAGTGACTGTGCAAGAGCACACATAAACACAGTGCGCAGCTTTGTGTTTGTTTGCGAATGAAATCGCAGCAGCAGCTGGTGAAGGCAGCGGTACTACCAACAGTGGCCTCCACCACGCTGGGGTGCAGGCTACTGCTGCTTCACGGGAAGATAGGGCATCCTCTGACTTAAATCTGTGTACGAGAGAAACAGAGGAGAGAAGAGAGAATCCACCTGGCATCTCATCGCACGCTACCTGCCCACGAGGCACTGTTTGTGTGTCTGCTCATCTGACACTCTCTGCGGAGAAGTCACAGAAACGGCCTGGTTTTTTGTTGGTGTCCCTTTTTTCCTCCTGTTCTCTACTCCCGTGATTAACACAACCAGCAACTGCAGAGTGTCATATCGACTTCAGTCTCTGGGCCAGTCTGTAGTTTAGTGGAACACCAACATAGAGCGCGGAATGAGAAAGAGAAAGAGATTAGGCTGTCTGTGTTTAGTGCTCGCACCTAATTATCCGTTTGATGATTGCCGTACACCGCTGCCTGTCACCGGCGGCAGCTCTTCGCTCTCTTCGGCGCGCGCTGGTGTGTTAATCCACTGCTCATCAGCTCTTCTGCTACTGTAGCCTCTGCTGCTGCAGCCTGGTAGAATAGTAGGCGGCAAATTGGCAAACTGTCTGAAACGTCTGCCACCAGCAGCACCAGTCTGCCGCTGTCGCTGATAGCCACGAGACTTGTTCATGTGTGTGTGTTTATGTGTGTTATGTAAAGTAGTGGTGCCTCTCACCAGTACTCTCCCTCTGCCTTTGGGTAAGCTCTCTCGGTTCGGCTTAGACGGTAAGTCGACGCTTCATACTCACTCTCTCTCTCTCTCTCCCTTTCTCTCCCTCACACTTCACTTCTTATCTGGCCGCCACCTCGTCAGTATCGGTGTTTGAGATCTCATCGCCTGTCTTCCCTGTTTGCCCACACAGCACAGCTGATGAGTGTCTGCTAGCCAGCGGGCGAGCCAGCGAGAAGAGAGGCGAAGAAGATGCCTGGCAAAGTGAAGGTCCGCATTCTTGCGGGCCGCAACTTGCCCGTGATGGACAAGTCCAGCGACACCTCCGATGCATTCGTCGAGGTTCGTATGCCACCCTTTTGCGCTTATCTCTATAACCATCTCAAATAAACACCAAATTCCCCCCTCTTTTCAGGTGAAGCTGGGAAGCACTACCTACAAGACTGAAGTGTATCGCCGCTCGCTGAACCCCTACTGGAACTCCGAGTGGTTTCGTTTCGAAGTGGACGACGAGGAGCTGCAGGACGAGCCCCTGCAGATTCGAATAATGGACTACGACACCTACTCGGCGAATGACGCCATCGGCAAGGTCTACATCGACCTCAATCCACTGCTGCAGAAGGACTCAAAGCATGTTCTCTCCGGCTGGTTCCCCATCTACGACACAATGCACGGCATTCGCGGCGAGGTGAACTGCATCGTCAAGGTGGCACTCTTCTCCGACGCCAATCGCTACCGCCAGTCCTCCTGTGGCTTCAAGTTCTTCTACTGTCCCCAGATACCAGAAGGGTACGTCTGCGAGGCGATTCTCGGCTTCGTCGAGGAGCTGGTGGTCAACCACGATCCTGAGTACCAGTGGATTGACAAGATACGAACGCCGCGTGCTTCCAATGAAGCCCGACAGACGCTCTTTTCGAAGATTTCCGGAGAGGTGCAGCGGAAGATTGGCATCAAGGCAATGGACCTCGGAGGCAATGCCGTCATCGGGTAAGTGTACCAGTCATTCAACAGACTCGGCCTACTTTATTCGTTCTCTCGCAGATACCAACAACACTTTGATATGGAAGGCGAGTCGGGCATTGTGGTGCGAGGCATTGGCACCGCCGTCATGATCACCAAAATCACTTCTCTCAAGTATCCACTCAAAATCACCACCGAGTACGCTGTAACCTACATTTATCACCCACTTTTTTACTCACAATGTACTTTCCTTTGCAGCAGCAGAGGCGATCACATCAAAGAGACCTGTAAGTCAGCATCACCGACTGCCCAGATACCGAACGGAACTGCCGCTTCCAACTTTAATGAGTCGAGCAGAGAGGCGTCCTTAGCGAATGCTGCCACCCGGCGAATGTCAGACTCTGATCTGAACATTAACCACAAAGGTAAGTGCACTGACCCCTGTCAGTCCACTCACTCGCTACAGCTGCCGTTGATTTAATGCCCTTTTCTAGGAAACAGTACTGTTGAGGGGCAAAACTCAAGTGCCGCTGCAGCCTCTGCTACTGCCGCCGCCACCGCCAACAACAACTTCAACAACAGTACAGTGGCCAACAGTGCCGTGCTCCAGTCGCTAAGCAAATTAAAGATATCACCCGAAAAGCTACAGCTGCTTGTATGCTTCTCATCAATCATTGTTGTGTTGCCACTTTTTGCTGATATAAGCACTTTGTTTGTTTGTTTGCTTTTCTTTCTCTCTCCCTTCTGCAGGAGTACCCATTTCTCACTGTGAAAACATTTCCGCCCGGTTTAATTGCCAGCATTGGCGGCATTGTCTCGGCGCGTTCTGTCAAGCTGTTAGGTAGGTGACAAATGGCGCCGTTATTTAACATAACGCTCATTCTTTGTTCGTTTTCACCCATTTGAAGATCAAATCAACAACCCTGATGACCCCGAGACGAGAGATGCCTGGTGGACGGAGCTGCGCAAGGAGATTCGCTCACACAAGAAGACCCTGGGCTGCAATGCCGTGCTCGGCTACACCGAGACGGCGTACATCAACGACGAGATTTGCATCCTCTCCGCCTGCGGCACCGCCGCCCTGCTCAAAACCTCCGAGACGGAGGTGGAGGCGACCTTCAACTACTTTCAGAATGCCAATTACGAACGCAAGTGGGAGTACGAACTGCTGAGCAGTGCCGCCGGCAGTGCTCAGCAGGCGCCGAAGACCTACTGCCATCTGTGCCACATTCCATACCAGGAGAGTCAGGTGCCCTTTCCCACCAACCTGATGACCTGTGCCATCTGCCACACCGGCAAAGTGCCCGACGTCCTCTTCATGACCATTGAACCCTGTGAAAATATTCCCATCACCGGCTTCGGCACGTTCATTCAGGCGAGGGTCTGTCGCAGCAAGCGAGAGTGCAAGGGCGAAGCCTGTGCCAAGGAAATCTCTGATGTAAGCAGCTGGCAGTTTGGTCTGCTTTGGTTTTGTTTACTAAACCCATTTTTTAGAGTCTTCCATTTCTCGAGTACGAACTTCACCGCCAACTACTCACCAAACTGAAAATCAAAGGCATGAATGGCCTGTTTAACATTTCCATTCAAAGTAAGCTTATCATTTTTAGTTGCTGGTTAAAACGTCCACTAATTTTACCCTTTCTCACCAGTCTCATTTGGGGAGAACATGTTAGTGGCCGTGGCAACGGGCACTGGCGCCTTTCTATCTCCGCTCCTTCCTCCAACACCGCCAAAGATATCATCGGGAAAAGGCATTCTCTGCTCGAAGTTGAATGAAATTCAAGCCCTCATTTCGGAGAGCATCAATCGAAATCGCGAGCTCTATCAGCTGAACCAAAAGAACCAGGCTGCTGCTGGCGGCGGCGGTGTGTCCGGCCACCGAAGCACCTCTACAACCAGCGACGACAAAATGGTGGACGGCGGAAGTCGGCAGCCGGCACCGAACAAGGTGCTAGAGGACATGAACGCCGACAAGTACTTCAATGAGAACAAGGAGAGCTGTGTCCTGCTCGAGGTGGACGACACCGAGGACGCCGACATCATCTCGCTGATGATTGACTCGGATGTGCCGCGAGGCTTTGACATCTGCAACTCGGAGTACCTGCCCGGGAAGCAGCAGCAGTTCATGTCCAACCTGCAGATGTTCTCGCAGGTGTACCGGGCGAAGCTGACCTCGCACAAGCAGTTTGGCCACCAGTTTGACTGGATCATTCAGAGTTTGTTCGTCAAGTTTCGTGCCCTCATACCTTGCTGTTTGACTGACCTGAAGTTTCGTATCGACCTGCCGGAGAGCGATTTACTGCAAATCACCGTAACCGGAACTTCCATTGGAATGGGCGCACCCGCGCTGAAGCCAATTGCTCGGACGCGAACGCCCACATGTAAGGACTCTAAGAAGCAAAGTGAAAAGTTTAATTTTTTTGAATCGTTCACACAGTTCACGCCGATCATGCTCAGGAGGAGCTCATCTTTCCGATGGACAGTGTCGCCGATGAGAAAAAGGCCGATGCGGTCGACCTGGAAGATGGCAAGAGCATGTACTATCACGTAAGTGCTCAATGATTTNCAATTGCTCGGACGCGAACGCCCACATGTAAGGACTCTAAGAAGCAAAGTAAAAAGTTTAATTTTTTTAAATCGTTCACACAGTTCACGCCGATCATGCTCAGGAGGAGCTCATCTTTCCGATGGACAGTGTCGCCGATGAGAAAAAGGCCGATGCTGTCGACCTGGAAGATGGCAAGAGCATGTACTATCACGTAAGCGCTGAATGATTTTCATTGTTATGTTTTGTAACAACTAATAAATATTCCTCTGAACAGACATATCCAAAGGAGCACCACGGCATCGAGTTGACGCCGCTCAGCTATATTCCCGGCGCCTACATTTCGCCTTATCTCGGCAACTTGGACTTTTTCTTTATACGAGAGAGCAGTAGCATTCGAGAGGTAGGTGGAAAGGACTGTTGGGCGGATTTGCAATTCTTTCTTTTTTATCTATCCAACATTTCTAGTACGGTGGACTAAGCGGTTTTATGCACAACTTTATGACTGAAGTCTTTGCCATTGTTCGCTCGCACGTCTCCTCACTGGGCGGCAATGCAATGACCTCCTTCCACATTACGCAACTCCTGCTGCTCTTCAACCCTCACAAGAATCAGGCTCAGTGTTTAATCAACGTTGCCGGCGACGTAGTCACAGTGCACTACTGCAATGCACTGGAGAGCAGCAGTCAGCCGGCCAACTAGACTGAAAGTACGTTTTTTAATTATCAACCGAGTGCAATTTTTACGTGCAACATTAGAGAGACGCTTTTCGTTCTTTCAGTATGCCTTTTTGTGCAGCCATATTTTATCATGTTTTTACCGACCTCAGACTCACAACAAGTACCAACAAACAAACACGCTACAAGACTTTTACAGTTTTATATTTATTATCGGTGCTCACTAATTGTGTTTTCACTTTTTGCTCTTTTTAAAAGTAAAGATATTTTAGTTTTGTACACTACCATTTATGTGCCATTAATGGCCTTGCTTTAATGTTCTCAATTAGAGTTTAAGAAAGTCATTCAATTCAGCCAAATAAAATGTGTTTTTGTAAGCAAGCTCACTGAGCAGATTGGCTGAAGACTGTTACTTTCCTCGGCCAGAAGAGGATTTGGCATTGCGAGACTTGCTGCTACTGCTGTCAGTTTTAGACTTTGCTGTCTTGGACGAGCCTGACTTGACTGCCGCCACCGACTTGACGAGCATCGATGCTTTTCCGGCGCCTGTCTTCACTTTGCCGGCGGGTGCTGGGGCCGGCTCATTGTGAGCCGTCACTCCCGGCTTCTTCAGCACCAGCGCCGATGAATCAGGCCCCATGGTGTTGGGATGAACCTGTGGCTCGGCTTGCTCTCCAAAGCAGTACTTTCCTTCGGTGTAAGTGCAAATGAGAATGGTGGCCACGGAGAGAATGACCACAGTCAGCAGAATGACGGCAATGATCGCCTCGACGTAAGATCGCGTGTGTTCAGTGCTTGCTGAGGAGGGAGAAGTTAGTTCTGATTGAGTAGGTATTGTTAGTGACACTCACAAAGCTCTTTGTCAGTTGAGCCATTGCTACTTGCAGAGGTGGATGAAGGAATCGGCCAAGCTAACTGAATGGAGCAAAAAAGCAGCACTATAAGTAGACTGGAGAGTTTCATGGCGATCAAATGTTAGACTGTTAGATACAAAAAACTAAGCATCATCTGATATTGGGCTTTTGTACGCGTTTAGAATTATGTTCGAAATTGGAAGCAAACTTGCGCTGACGTATTAGAGTTGTGTTGAGTTTATTTTTAAAAATTAGAATACAAAAATTGGCAAGCTCTACACACCGAGCTGTTCATCTACTAGTGATGTTCACTTCTGCTCACTCAAAACCGGGCGGCGGAGGAGGTTGAGAAGTTTGAGAAGTTTGAGAAGGCTGCTCCTTCACTCCTGACTGAGAGGCCGATGGCAGGTGGCCTGACTGCTTTGACTGTCCACCGATGGACATTTTGGAAGCATTTGAGGGCATCTGCATTTGCGAGCCTTGCTGCGAGTGTCCGCTCATGGACGTCTTGGAGGCGTGCGAGGGCATCTGCATTTGTGAGCCCTGTTGGGAATGCCCGCTCATGGACGTCTTTGAGGCGTGCGAGGGCATCTGCATTTGTGAGCCCTGTTGGGAATGCCCGCTCATGGACGTCTTTGAGGCGTGCGAGGGCATCTGCATTTGTGAGCCCTGTTGCGAATGTCCAGTCATGGACGTCTTAGAGGCGTGCGAAGGCATCTGCATTTGCGAGCCTTGCTGCGAGTGTCCGCTCATGGACGTCTTGGAGGCGTGCGAGGGCATTTGCATTTGTGAGCCCTGTTGGGAATGCCCGCTCATGGACGTCTTAGAGGCGTGCGAAGGCATCTGCATTTGCGAGCCCTGTTGCGAATGTCCAGTCATGGACGTCTTAGAGGCGTGCGAAGGCATCTGCATTTGCGAGCCCTGTTGCGAATGTCCAGTCATGGACGTCTTAGAGGCGTGCATTTGTGAGCCCTGTTGCATCGAGTGAGACTGCGACTTGTTCATTGACTTGTGGCTAGATCCACCACCAGCACCACCACCACCACCACCACCGCCAGCACTCATCTGATGAGCACTTGGGCCCATTGATTGCTGTGCTGGTGGTGGTGGCGGTGGTGGTGGCTGCATTGCACCAGGATGGGCAGCTGGCGGCGCTGGATGCTGCTGCTGCTGCAACTGCTTCACCTGACTCATCGGCACTTCCTGAGGCTGCACCACCTGATTACTGCCGTCGTTGTAGTTCCACACGTAGACGTACTCCCAGCCATCTTCTTCAGTGGCCTGCATGCCCTTCACCACTTCCATCTTCTGAGGTGGAGGAGCAGCCGGGTGTACACCACCTTTCCCTAGAGACTTCGGCCCCTGACTAGTCTTCGACTTTTGCTGAAGATTTGAGCCGACTGACTTTGGGTGGCCGGCCAAAGTTGCCGATGGGTGACCGGCAGAGACTGGGTGCCCCATCGAATGTCCAGAAGCTCCCGGATGACCCACTGATTTAGGGTGGCCACTGGCAGACATTGGGTGACCAGGAACTTGGTGACCTGAAGCCGTCCCAGAGTGTCCAGCCGACATTGGGTGGCCTGGTGGATGGCCAGCCGACATCTGGTGACCGGAAGCAGAGGGGTGGCCAGCAGACATCGGATGACCTGATGGTCCAGCAGGGTGGCCTGAAGCAGAGGGATGGCCCGCCGACATGGGATGACCGGGCATCTTGTGCCCCGAAGCTCCCGAATGACCTGCCGACATTGGATGGCCAGAAACTGACGTCTTGTTGGCCGACTTCATTTGGCTACCCATCTTCGACTTGCTTTGCTGTCCAGACTTGTTTCCAGTCATTGAGTTTTTTGCCATACTGTGCTGACTGCCTGATTTGGGCTGCTGTTTGCTGGTGCTTCCTTTGCTCTTAATTCCCACTCCACTGGCTTTGGAGGCAGACTTGAACTTGCTTTGCATATTGCTCTTTGAGTGCATCACTGCAAAAAAAGCTGGTAATAAAAAAGATTTTAAAAATTGTCATGTCCTTACCTTTGCTGCTTTTCATAGTCGATTTGGCCTTCAGCATGCTACCAGCAACGCTTCTCTTTCCTCCCGTTTTAATGTTGCTCGCTGACTTGCCAGCAGACTTGGGCGGCAGTTTGGATTTACCACTCTTGACACTCTTGATGCTTTTGTCCTTGCGACGCTGCTTGAAGAAGTTAAAGAGGCCACCGCCGCCATCTTCTTTGAAACCTGGCATGTTGACGGCTAGAGCAAGTAAAAAAGTAAAAAGACTGACGTCTGCTTACTGCGCTTATATTTCAGTCAAATGTTTTTAGAACTTTTTGTTGCCAATTAGATAAAGCAAAAAATGCGAAAAAAGCAGCAATTGTCAGCAGCAATGACACACAGCTATTTCTAACAGTTTAGCAGCAGGTGGACGTCCCCTTTGGATCGTAGATGAACTGAATATCGGCAAGGGTGTTCACCACCACCAGACCCTTGGTCAGCTCGGGGCTGTACTTGCCCGTGCACTGGCGGTCTCGATTGACGACCATCGCTCTGATGCCTGCCTCGATGGCGCGGCTCGCCTTCCTCGGACAGTCGCTGATGTACAGCAGATTCTTCAGATTGGGCTCACGCAGAGCGGTGGCCACCTGGCGAAACATGTTCGTCTTGAACTTGAAGCCGCCGGAGGCGTTCAGCGCATTCGCCACGTACCGGTTCAAGTCGCCCGCCTCTGAGGCGCGCAGAAAGAGGCGCTGTCCGCTGGCGTCCCCCGAGGCGTACGTGTAGATCTTGATGAACTCCTCAAAGCGCCAGTACTGAAAGGCTTCCAGCACGTCCGGGTAGGCGTGCGTCTTCAGGCGGCCGTTCTCGTAGGACTTGTGCCACAGGTCGGTGACCATGCGGTCGATTAGTTGCTGCGGAAAGGAGAATGCGAATGAGTGAAAATGAAATCAAGTTTAGCTTTCTCCTCTTCACCTTGGTGGTCGGGTGCTGGTGCTCCACCTGCCACTGCACACTGACCGCCGCCGTTTCCTTCTGCTCCTCGAGTGGGGCACTCTCCGGAGCAATGGCGGGCACCTGGTCGCCGGCGTATCGGTCGACGATCACCTGTTCGCGCATTCGAGCCATCATCAGCTTCATCGTCCTCTCCTCCCAGCACTCCTTCACGTGACTGGCCAGATGGGCGTTGGCGTACTGCTTCAGTGTGGCCGCAAACTGCCACGAGCAGATGACGCCGTAGATGTCGATGAGAATGTTGCTCGGTTTGGCCACTCGCACGGCACTGGGCCCAAAACTCAGCGCGCGCTTCATTCGCTCCTCCTTGACCACTGCATCGAAGCCCACTGCTCGATGTTTGGGAGAAGTGCCGGCAGGATCTTTTGCCCCTTCAACGGCGTTCTTTTTGGCCTCATCAGAGGGTGGAGGCTCATTTGATTTGGTGGGCGGTGGAGTCGCTCCACTTGACGAGTTTTTCTCACTCATGGAGTGCTAGTGCTTGAATTTTTTAAAAGTTGAAAAAAGATGACAGCAAAACAGTTAAACGTTAAACTTTAACCCAATTCAACAAAATTCGATAACTTTAAAAAATGTAGAACGGCGTCAGCAGCAGAAAACAATGACGCACAATCGAAGGTAAAACTCTGTGAAGCGGTAGTTGACCAAACTTTTTTTTCGCCCACAATCAATACATCCCCACAAAGCGATGGACGACCCGAAGAGCATGGAACTAAACGCGAACGCCCTCACTGTGCCCCTCGTGGTGGCCATCACCACCTTCTGTCTGCTGCTGGTGCACCTCGTGGCGCGCATCAGCTGTGGCCGCGACTCGCCCGACATTGTGATGTTCTACGACGAGGCGAACGCCCTCACCTACCGCTACCAGTACATCGTCCGGCTGCTGTACGGGCCGAAGTCGCTCTCCTTTGCCGACAGCACGACGACCATCTTCGGCGAGGTGGAGCACTCCATCAATCGCATCGTCAAGATTCCCTTCTCGCCGGCCACCATGGAGCGCGTCTACCAGTACAAGGGCCACCGCTGCGCCAAGGTCTTCATTCGCACCGGGGAGCGGTACTCGAACATCAGCAAGCTGCTCATGTACCACAATGGCCGCGGCTCGATCATCATCGTGGCGCTGGAGCTGCAGGAGGTGGACGCGGAGAACTCCATCGCCTCCGTCTTGAACAATCCCATCTTCTCGGCGAGCAGTGGTCGGGCGGCCAAGGTCACCGCCTATCCCTTCGGACGGGAGCAGCCGACGCCGCTGGAGGACGACATTCGCCCGACGCGGAACGTCACCCTGGCCGAAGCCATCTACCTGCTGTACACCTCCGTCAATGCGGTGTACCTGGTGGGGCTGCTGCTGCTGGAGAAGAGCTGCACCGATGACACCTTCTGCGACTACGACACCGGACTGCTGTTTGGCAGCGTCGCCGGCGCCGTCGGCTTTCTCCTCTTTCTCCTCACCGCCTCCTTCTGTCGCTTTGTGGTGCGCAGTCTCGTGTACCGCAGCCTCGGTCGCGGCTGCTCCAAGGGCTTTCGGGTGCTCTACCTCAGTCTGGTGGCCGCTGCTGGCATCACACTGGGCGCCTTCTGCGCCCAGCGCTCCATGACCGGCGACTACTACGGCGGGAAGATCAACGAACATGCGCAGCTGCTCAGCGCCGCCGCCATCTGGACGATGGTCAGCGGCGTGGGCGTCTTCACGATGCTCATCCTCGTGGGACTGTCGCTGCCGCTGGCTGTCTACTTTCGCTTCATAGTCCTCGTCGGCGATGACGCCGGCGGTGATGGCAAGCGCGGCAGTGCTGCAGTTGGCCTCCTCAAGAGATTTGCTGGCGGTGGCCGAAGACGAGGAGGAAGAGGCGACACCATCAGTGCAGAGGATTCCATCACTGTCAAAAGTACTACTGTGGAGAAGTTTCGCAGCGAGGAGGCGTTCAACGCAGCGCAGTCATTTGCCGAGACGAGCACCTACGACACGGGCGAGAGCGGAGAGCTGAAGGGTCGGCATAAACGAAAGCCACTTTCACCAAGCACAACAGAAGGTACTGCTTCGCCCGGAAGAGGCGGAAAGAGCAGTAGAGGGGCAGATCATGGAGGAAGAGGAAGGGGAGGCACGGACAATCAGAGGAAGAAGAGGAAGGGGAAGACACCAAAGCAGGATGACGCCGCCTATGCTAACTTTCTGGCGCACGAGCAAAAGGTGGTGAGATCCATTTCACAGTACGAGTCAGATGATGGCGCATCAGCGGTGCCCATCATTCCCGCAACGCCCCTCCCCAAGGTTGCTGGTGGTGGCAAAGGTGGTAAGAGCAGACGCAAAGACGACTGTCCAAAGAGCGAGACTATCGAAGGGCCCAACAACTCCTCCGGCTATGGCCGCCATCTGCTCAAGGTGGGCGGCAAGGTCAAGTCAGTCTCGCAGTACGAGTTTCATGGCAAGGCTGCCAAGAAGGTTTCCAATCGCCCCAGCTAAATATTTTTGAAAGGTGCTGCCCACTGTTGCAATAAAGAATTTGTTCTCAACTAGCATTTGTTGTGTGTGCGTAAATAAAAATCTGTCTGCCAACCAAACTTGTCAATCAAACAGTTTTAAGTTGCTGTTATTGATCAGCAGCATGAGCACCCCTAAATCAGCGCCCTATCTGCAGCAATGGGACCAA